ATATGTTATTGTTTAACATTAAATAACTAGAAGATAATGATTATCCTTTGGAATTAATCTGGATTTGAAATGGGTGATGCTTGATTTTTTTTTCCTGCTTACATCTGTAGGCCTATGGATTTATAATGTTGATGTGGAATATGTTGGTAAACAATTTTCACAGGTTTGTTGACATGGCATAAATGGGTCAATAGATTGATTGTCTCGATGGTATGTTGACATGATATAAATTATATATTGATCATGTCGACATATTTATCAATATAGCAAACAATATGGTGACCATCATGTTATCAAAACTATCGACTTGGACTTGCTAACATGTCCTTAAATCAACACTATAACTTTGCGGGCATCTGGTATGTAATCATGCATGATTGATGATCAATAAATTTTCATTGCTATATACTCTACACCTTGGTTGTTAGGTTGGGAGAAAATATATGGCTTTGAAGAATTGTGAAGAGTTGCTTACCACTGTCGGTTGCATTTATGCAATTACTGATGAATTCATCCATCTCTTCTTTTAGAAAGACATCCTGTTTTTTTAGGCGTTTTAAACCATAAGGAATTGGAGGATTTATGTTTGAATTACGTTTGTTTTTCCTCCAATTAGCTTCTACTTTGTTTCATCCATCCTATATATGTACTAATTTTCCTCCAAGTTTGTCCCATGTATTCAATTGTTATGTAGAAAGCGAAGCTAGTGTTTCTTGACGTTGTTTGACAGTGTAGCTATTAGCATTGCATTGTATTGTTGTTAATGTACTTGGCTTTGAAAGAGAGATGAAGAAAGATGTTGATACTGTCAATTGCTAATAGCTGTACACATTGTTAGGCAAATCCAATGATTATTTCTTACACATCGGTGGACAAATCCAATGATTATTTCTTACTGGGATTGATGACCTGTGCTGATGGATCAGTGAAGGAGCATGTATTTTGGATTCAAAGAGGACCTGTGCCATGAAAATTCTCCAAAAGTCGATTGCTTATGTAAAATATATCGTCTGGCACCAAAAAACTAGAAAACAAGTACAATAATCCTTGGAATTTCATCTGGGTATGATATGGGCGGTGCTTGAATATTTTTTTCAATCATTTGTGTTGTCAATCATCCTCTGTTACTTGCAATGTCATAACCAAAGAAACCTGCTTCGCCTTTGTTTCTGCCAAGCTTTTCAACATTAATGGGTGAGGGACGTTGCTATTGTTTTACTTTTGCGAACCAGGAGTGCAATAAAATTAAGCCGGCGAGTGCAGGAGTGATGGTTGCTCGCTGGTCGAAGTTAATAGAAAATCCGTACGAGCTTGTTTCTGAGGACTGATGGACTTTTCTATCCTGTTAAACTTTATTCTGAGGACTGATGGACCCTCATAATGAGCGATTTTATATCGCAAGCAAGCTAAATAAAAAACATTATACAATCTCTCTGCTTCCTGCTATCACGTCTCCCACAAGATGCGGGAATGGTCTCAAACTGATCTAGGTTTTGCTTAGACTATTTTTACAAACAAATTCACTAACCCTTTGTAGGTTGTGCAGGGAAGGCAACAAATGCATCCATGGCCATTTCTAAAAGGGCCCATAGCTGTAACACCATAGTCAACTATGTCACGAACACTTTTAACACATTAGACGTATGCAGGTCCTATATAAACTAATCAGAATAGAAATTTTCAGTACTAATCAATATCTTCTTCCCTTGAAGGCTAAACTTCCAAGTGGTTTCAGTTAGTTTGGGCATGGGATATGGAATTTAGAGCTGCCCACCATGGAAGGTTTGACCAAAAGCCCAGTTTGGAGGAGCTACATTGCTGGAGATGATGGATCGTCCATCACTTGTTGTGACCTTGAAAGAGAGTGCTTGACCATTCAGGTAAGAATTGCTCTGCCAATTTTGGCCCCAATTGCGAGACATTGGCTGCCAACCAGTTCTAGATCCTTTGATGGAGACTGACGCAACATCACCAGCACCACCAACATTGGTTATAAGAACAAGGTTGAAGTATGAATGACCATTTATAGTGAACCTGATTCCTCCAGTTTTCCTACAAGCAACTCTGTAAACAAAATAAAGATTTTTTGGTTCAGTATATTGTGGAGATTTTATAGCAAAGTTGAGTCATATTTATATCATGATGAGTAAGCTCACCTTCTGTATAGAACAGGGACTATTCCTGCTTTGTAACGAGCTAGACGTTGGAAAACAGGCTGAGAAAGATCGAAATGTTGGGAAGGAGGATTGCACCACCCTCCCGCACTGTTTGGAGGGCAAAAATTTGTTGCTGTGACTATGATAGATCCTGAGAGACACCACCTGGCATCATTTACACATTTGAGTTCGAAACAAGCTCCACAGGTTAGTCCATTCTTGAATAAAGCTGTGCTTAATGCTGCCGTGTTTGTCCCATAACCTTGGCTGTAGAGGTTTCCATAACCACAAGCTCCTCCTATATATTGTAGCATACACATAAATTGATTGAGCATGAACTACCATATAGCAAAGAGATGTAGACTAGCAGGTATCTCATTGGATTTTGGTTCTTACCCATTGTGCCAGAAGCATCACCACCTCCATAGAAGGTAGCATGAGCATGAGACCATCCACCTCCATAGCCATGAACTGTTTTCGACATGGTTAGGAAGACTACAAGACAAACTCCTAGAAAATCCATTTCCTGCAAAGTAGCAGCAAAAGAAACACAGTTTGAGATAAGGATTATTTTTGCAAGTGGGAAAAGAAATCATTGATAACTTTGTGCTTACAATGTCCTAATAAATTTGAACTCAGAGAAATCAGCTTGGAAAACACAAGTCAGTGAATAGGAAAAGGCAAGGAAGAAGCTGGGGAATGAACCTGTATTTATAGATGTTTGTGGAGAAAACTATATGCTAACCTAAGGAGGAGAGGTTTGCCAAAAGGTAGTGCTATACTACCAATTTTATATTCTTGACATGTAGAATAAAAAAGAAGAAGGTAAGTATAATTAATTTCGATCTCCGAATGGCAAAGAAGGTTTGCTCTTTCCCTTCCTCTGACTTTCCAGGTTCAAACTTAGAAAACTTTATTAAATTATTTTGGATGCACCATATCAATAATACAGGAGGGTGTCTATAAAATCATTTGAAAAAGAATGTAGCCTCATTAGGTATATAGATTAGCTTTAGGGATATCTTTCCTAAAAATATATCATAAATGACTGTTATATGACAAATATCTCAAAACATTTGAGTTTCTTAAAGCTTGATTTCTTAGCATTAATTGCTTTTGTTTTTATTGGTAAATTAATTTTGATTCCAAATTTTTAAAACTATATTGGTATTAAAATGTATAAACTTTAAGGGGTTGACCTAGTTGTTAAAAAGGTTTGTTTCTTTACTTCACTTCCTAGTTTCAAACCCTGGAGTTAATATCCATTAAAAAAAAAATATATGAAATCCATCTAATTCAAATATATAGTGTTTCATGAAAAAAATTTAAAAAAAAATTTGCTTAAAAATTATTTTTTTAATCGTTTTGATGTGTTGATATTAAAAATAAATTTATTTTAAAAAATATTATTTTAATATATTTTTAAATAAAAAATATTTTAAAAAGTAATAATTACTATATTTTCAAGTTTTAATGCTGGGGGAAACTAATACAACAATACATTTATAAGCTCCAACACCTAATTTTCTAAACTTGGGCATTGTTTACATGTCCAAAGTTTAAATACACAAAGATAGGTGTAAATTTTTTATTTTATTTTTATTATGTTTTCCCAACACTCACATCTCTCGGATGCTTGGAATTTCAAGTTTTTGTTTTTATTAAAAAAAATGAAAAATTTTAAATTACTTTTTTTATGATTTTAAATTGTTTTGATATATCAAAAATAATTTTTTAAAATTTTTTTATACCTATTTTCAAGTAAAAAATATTTTAAAAAATCCTTTAAAATACAATTGCTACTGCAATCATAAACACTGAATAATGACTGTTTCTGCACCATTACAGAGACTTATCTCTACTGCTTGACATCATTTAACATGTTAAATGTATTGTTAAAGTTAAAATTCCATCATACCATACAGCATAACAGCCTGTATACATGCTCTTTTTGGCCTGCCTTCTGTCCTTGCTATACATCCAAATTTAACCTAATCTTTTCAATACCCTAATATAAACCTGTTTTTGCATGGTTAACTATCTTATTCTGATCTTCTTGACGTCTATAGGGAATCCCTACTGAAGTAGAAAAGTTTCAGATTTCTTAAGGAAAATGTTAGAATAAATGATTGGATGTCTGTTAAAGTTAACTAGAAAGATAAAAAGATAGCACCGACCAAGTTCTTTGAATCTCTAATTGCAAGTGGATAAGAGTAGATGCATAAATGTTACTTTCTGAGTTCCTGGTCTGCTATTCTTTAGTGTATATATATCTTTTTGTTTTCTGGTCTACCGCTCCTTGACGTCTTTGAAGGGCAGAAAGTTGAGCTTCTGACCTTTCACATGCTGTCAACATACCAAGAGAACATTTCTGCTGTTCAAGAGTTAGCTGAGAACAAAGATATCCTGTTGGAATAATAATCTGTCAATGATTTTGGTGCTCTACTTGTTGCAGGCAAAACCTTACACCTTACCATGAACATCATCTGGTAATTAAGGAAACAATTTTACCGCTGCTAAGAAAAGAAATTTCTCTTTGAAAATATGTCTTCCAACGCTAGCACCCAAAGGCAAAGAACAAAATACGGGCTGCTGCCTGCCTGCGTTGATTAAAAAAGGTTGACAAATGTCTAATCAAATTTCTGTGCACGTGGGGGACCGTCCATGGTTGAAAAGATGAATTATACAGTTTCTGCACTATTGATGAATATATCCCATCATGCTTTCATGCTTTTCTTAGCTGTGTCCAGCTGATGAACCTTAATGCTTTCTTGCTGCAATTCTATTTAAAGAATAAAGTACTTCTGATCTTTACAGCTTAACCTATAGTTAGCAACGAAATTATTAAGCTGTGCTAATCATTTTCAAAAATCTTGGATATTGGTATGGAGATGCATCAAATCATAACAGAAGATTTTCTCTACCAAAGTATTCTTCACTGCTGATTTGCTCTTCAAGCTCTGCGCGTATTGCTGGGTGCAGATTTCTTCACCCAATTACCAGTAACATTAACTGATTAATATTCAAGCTTCATGTAAAGAATCCACAAAAAGATGTAATCTCTTAGAATCTATTGATGCCCTCAAAATCCCCATGAATAGAATAATGAGTAGCTGGTAGATATGTTTGACATCCAACTTTCTTTGATGAAAAATGCTCAACAGACAACTTAGTGCATCCCCCTTGTCTTCTTTCTTTTCATTCCCTTGTGGATAGAGTGTTTTTGAAAAGGACCAAACCAAACGCTAGAAACACAACAAGCTACATAAGAAAAATACCAAAACATCAGAGCAACAACCAAACTACAGCACATGGATGTATCATCGTGACATTTTCGAAGGGAACTGTCCAAAAGCATCAGTTGGAACGGAAGTTAGGGGAAATATTCTTTTATCTGCTTCTTTTACCTAATTCATGTTCCCGCGTTTCTGTTGATCGACAGCTTAATTGATATCCAAGAACACTGCAGTTCTTTGGGTACGTGGATAGGCTTCTGTACCTAAACAAAGTTGAATTATTCTCTCATTATCTGAACCAAGATGTTTAGTTTTTTTATGCTAGGGAAAATGGTTGTTAGGAGTAGAATTGTGGGTAGCAAATCCCAAGTATTCTTGTCATTAGTGACTATTCTAATGGAAAAAATGCAACACGCAGTCCAAGGAGGTGTCTATTGGCAACAGGAAATGGATAAAAAAATAAAGAAGTCCAGAGCAAGATAACAGATCTGAAGAACAATACCTCATTGCACATGGGATCACATGGCCACTGGCTCAAGCTGTAGAATAAGAAGTAAAGGTAAGCCTAGGGACCTAATTTTGAGACACCTTGATAGCTGGGGTATATAATTTGCCCCACATTTTATCCAAAATACAGGGTCTTCTCATCGTGGTTTACAAATATGGTTTTCCAGGAACAACTCTAAGCCACATGAAGCTAGAAAGTACCCACTCCTCCGAATCATGGAGAGCCCACTGGGGTTTTCTTGTAGACTTGTGGCATTAGCTACTCGGAGTTGAAGCCAGCAAGCTACTATACTTTAGAGGAGGCAGGCATGTGGGTATATCATGCACACCTCCAGATAGTGGCATCCATTGAAATAGATATGGACTTCACACAAAAGAGAGAGGAAAAAAAAAAAAAAGACATGGATGCGCACCACCATCATATATTCAGGTGGAAATCTGTCTTAAATTGAGTAGTAACCTTGACAAATATTGGGCACTTTAGATATTTCACCCCTTGCCTGCACACTCCTAACAGCAGCAACCAACAAGCTACCATGCCTGATGCCCGCGCTTCATTACCGTTCTGGACCAACATAACCATGCAAGCGGACTCTGTTCTCAGCTCATTTGGATTCACCACTGAAATCCATTTCACTTAGACTTCCAACACTAGGGGGCCTATGCTAATTAAAATGCTCTAGTCTTTAAAACTGGATGCAATATTTGCTAATTAATAACTTGAAGAGTTGAAAATAATGAATGAGAGAAGTCACATGGATAGTCACAAATAGTCATGAGTCAGAGAGATCTGCCACAGCTTATATATATAAATTAACAACATGCAAGGGTTCTTACCACTGTCTTGAAAAATGAACCCTAGCAGATTTAAAAACGTGTCATGAAAGATTCATCAAACATCTAAATCTTGAAATCTACTTGCGAGTAATTACATACACGAGACTACTCAACAAACATTCGGTGTCAAGCTGGTTTCTGGCTAGAAGAGGAACCAGTCTTCTGGAACACCTTAGCGTTGAAAAGTTCTTTACCAGACTTCCCCTTAAATGTAAAATGCCTTCTAAGACGACAGGTTATTGAAGACCCATTGTCATTCCGAGGTGACACTGTACAGGGCCAGTTCCTCCGCAATCTGTCCTTGATATGATAAGAGGCTTCCGTATTACTGTGACTACCCTGGACCTCAGATATCACCACCCCTCTGCTTCTCCGTACAGATCTTAAAGCCATCTGCAAGGGCTCTGAAACTGGTGGGGACTCTTCAATTGATCCTACGGTTTTCAAGCACAGAGGGCAAGGAGGGTCATGAGTCTGGGTCTTTGGAGTGACTTGTTCCAAACATTCAGCATGGAACACATGGCTGCAGGGGAATACCCCAGCAGTTGGCATGTCACTACCTCTCATGATTCGATGTGAGCTCCAGGGAGACTTTTGCCACAAAAGTTTTCCACAAACTCCACATTTTTGTTCCGCTACAGGACGACTAGGGGACCTCAGACTCTCCATATCCATGTGCTCTGCAATGTCAAACCTTTCTCCATCAATCCCCAGATCATAACTGCTGGCACTGCTCCATCTAAAACCCTCTCTTCTAGAGCTTGCGCTGGGGTCTGGTGACGTCTCCAACTTCTGAAGTTCAGTGAGGGTTTTATGGAACTTGTAATCAACACTTGAACTGTTATCAGGCCAATGAGATGGCGATATCTGATCCTCACCTGGTGTTAACCTACCAAGACTACTGTTACCCACATCACCAAAGGTTTCACAATCTGACACAGGGTTGCGAAATACTAATGGATAAACAGCTTTTGACATGTAAGAGCGTTGATTTGAAAAGTTGCGACTGGAGAAAGCAAATGGTCGCTTGCTAGTTGATTCCCAATGGCTGGACTCAGAAAGTGAGGATGGGGAACCAAAACCAGGGGATGTCACACTTGCACTGATGGCAAATCTTCTCTGAAAATATGAAACACCAGAGAAGGAAAATGTCATGCAATTGAAACTTTTCAGCCGGTTCTAACAAACCAAAGGTGTATAAATAAGTCACCTCAGTGGAGCATGGAAACCAAGTGGGCTGAGATCTTGATCCTGGAAATTGAAAATATGTTAGAATAGAAACCTGTAAAACAGTAAAAAATAAAATCATCCAGATATCCGGCACAAAACCAGAAACTCAAGCAACATAATACTGCTGGATTTTATTAAAATCAACTACCAAAAAGCTAGACATTTTCCTAAACATGAGTTTGCAAAAGCTAGACATTTTCCTAGACTTGAGTTTGCAGACATGCACAAAAAGATGGTCTCCTGATCCTACATACAAGAGACGACTTAAATGAAACATTATCTTGTGTGATCTAAATCCACCAAAAAGATAAGGATTCCAGATCATACGCGCAAAAGAAGCCTTGGATGAAAATTCTCTTGTGATTGAAATCCACCATCAATATAAATTAATGCACAGATTTCACTTAATTATTTTCAACCATCTAATTTTAACTGCAATATAATCATGGATTCTGCCTCAATAAGTTTTTGTTTTCAAATAATAAATAATATTCTTAATTTCCAGTCAATCATTTTGGCTTTCACTATGAGGCACTAGATATAGCTATTGACCAACTTTGGTTGCCATATTAAGCATAAAGAAGGGGGATAGGAAGGCCTAACTTCCATTCTATATAAAAGAAATTACCTGCACCACAGAGCAAATTATCGATTATGAAAATGATATGGAGGAACCTAAAACCTATCCAAACTCCATGCAACCGCTGGTACATGGGCTAAATAACTTGCCTACAAATTATGAGTTCCTCTTTTTGCCTTACTTTCTTTGGTTAAGTAAAAGTGAGTAACATACTTGACTTTAAATCATGGTTAGGAAATAACATGTAAAAATACTAATAATAAGAAGAAAATGGGTACAAATAAAGAGTACAAGAGAGGTCATATCAAGCTCGATAGCATATTTCAATAATTATTAACCAATGGCTAGCTTGAAAATAAGCTGCAAAGAGAATGAGAACTGCATAACTGGTCAATTTATATATGCTGTCAATTTCTCATTATACTAATTGCAATATCTTGCTGGCTTCTAGTCTAAGGTCCATTTGATGTAGACTCTCATGGTATTTTCAGTAATATGCCCAAGATGCTAACATATTACTCATTTCAGTAATATGCCCAAGATGCTAACATAATATGTCTTTTCCAACCCAATATCTCATTCTGGATAAATCTTGTTTACATTTGTAGATATCACCACTCCCTCAGTTATTACAAGTATAAATTTACGGACCACCATGCTACTAAATCACCTTAAACACGACCATGAAGAAATCATATGAAATACAGTTAATCCATGCTGAGAAGCTGAGGATGCCCTTTCTCAGCATTGCCTCTCCAAAACGAGAGTATCAAATTGGCATTTTTCAAATCCTGGATGCCATTAGGAATTTAAAGATGGATAACATAAGATAAAAAGTTAAACCGGATTTGATAAATGTGATTAAATTCAGAAACTCTATAGTTTATATAAAGTTTTTGTCAAAAATGAAGAAGAGAAAAGCAAGGCCTGCAGAGTAGGTGATAGTTTAAGAAACTTCTACACCACTTTTTTTTTTCCTTCTAATTTTCTGTCCTCAGCTTTATGATTTACCATTAACATGAGCAGAATAATAAAAAAATGGTGTGGAATATGAGCATTACATTTAGAATGTGAATCTTAAGACAAACAAGAGAATGAATCCCTGCACGAAAAAAGAAGGTAATCTGCGAACAGAATTGGGCAGGACACACAGCCTCTGATAAAGTTTCCAGAAAACTACATCCAGCAGATTTTCAGCATTCGGGAACTAAATGGCATCATAGATGAGAAATGACCTAATCAACACAGATTTTTATATAATTAGGATATTCAGTTAATTTAAGACTTGATTCACCAAGTATGATAATTCAAATTACAATTTTCTATGCTTAGATGACTAGCGTTAGAAAACCTTTCAATAATGGTTTTAACAATCCCTTAAATGATAAAAAAAATAAAGGTGAGAAACAGATTGAACACACAAAAATATATGAAAAGGAACAAGACAAAAACCTCATTTTTGCACTACTCCATCAAAAAACAGAACCTCTAAACAGGACTTGCCCTTGTCATGATGGGTATACTACTAGACAAGATCAGAATACCATGAATCTAATATTGGAGAAAATTTTTATTAAGATTACCTCCAGCAGTAGAGACCGCAAGGTCACTAAGATTAAATTTTTGCACTGGTGATGTCCAACGGGGCTCCTGAACATTGTCAGGTGTGCTATCTGAAAAAGAGAGTGCACCATCAGATACAGAGTGATGATGATTGGTATACTGTTCGCTTCCCACCCAGCTTCTACTTCCCCTACTATTTGAGGAAAATGATGAATCATGAACTGCACGAGACCCATGTGATAAACCATCTGACCGTAACCTACAATCCCACATCCTCAATGGAGGAGGTGAGAAACTAGAGTTTATTCGCCAATGTGGTTCACCATGATTATTGGAAGAGTCCCTACCAGTGGCAGGTGATTTCGCTCCATGTGGCCCAGCGGCCACACAACAAAGTGCACCCGTGTTAGCTATTTCTATTAGCACAACAAAGTTGTTTTGTAATTAAGTTAAATACAGTTAAGGTCAAATGAAGGTCCACATGGGCAAAGTTACTAAGTTGGGTATAATGGCAACACTAGTTCTGAATATTGCAACCAAGGATCACTATGTATGATGATGACAGAAATCATTGAAGGTAGCTGCCACCCAGTACTTTGGAATTATCATAGGAGGCATATCAGATTTCCATTCTGAATCAACTTATTCAAAACCTCAGCATGCTTAGACAAGTTGCTGAACAAGTATGATAACTTCTGATGCCAAGTTCCACCTGAAGTCTGCCCTTCGCCACTGCATTTATCCAATTGCACCAGTTTAACAACTGAACTAAGATGATACGTTCAAGAACTAAGACAATCATCACATATTCAACATTTGAATACAAGTCTAAAGGACACCACAAAATGCTTATTACTTCAGTCAGAGACTGACCTCTGATAGAACACTAGCCAATGACATGAACAAAGAAAGACTTCAAAAGGACAAATGACAACAAATGCTGCTGTATAATCACTTGTAAGGGCCACTAAGCAAAATCATAGTAAATACTGGACACCTAGACCATCATTCCAGTGATAACTAAAAGGTCCTTTCAACATGAATGAGGGCAATAAACAAACAAGTAAACATATGTTCGAATACAAAATTATGTTTTCAGTTCTATATGCAAAATAACACTAATTTACATCATTAGCACAACAATACAAACAGTGCCTGAATTATTACCTTCTATTTGCAGAAAAAAGTAATAATAACAGAGAAGATGACACCACAACAGCACCCAAATAAATCAAATCTTCCAAACATTTAATTACAACCAAAACTAAAATTGACCCAAAATGGTAAATCTTTCTAAACTCAAATTTCCATTAAGAAACAAGAGAAGTAACACGCGAAATCAACATCAATTAAAACACCCAATTAACAAAACTGTGCCAAAACTACACAACACCCAGATAAAAAAATAAACCCGCCAACCCTTTTCATATTTCCAA